TGGGGATTTTCATTTTAGTTCACACTTTTCTCTTTTCAATGTTGGGTAATTTGCTTGTCTAAACTAGGAGGAAAAATGTTAACGGTAATTAGAAGAAAGTCTTTATATGTAACCACTAGCTTGAGATGGAAAAGTGAAAAGAGCAATAATTTAAAATATTAAAGGTAAAATAAAAGAAGTGTTACAATCACTGTTATGCTGGAAATATGATGAAATAAAGAATGGTATAATATATATGAATTGGAAGTGGCTTAATATACATTAAAGAACAACTTACATGTTTGGATCTATTTCATTCAATGACTAGAATCCATAGTTGTAAAGGCTGTAAATGTAATGTATTACTTTGGTGAATTTTTGGTCCAATTTTTAAAGTAAATGGCATTTTTATTATTACATGATAAGGAACGTGTTTAAGTATCATATAAGGTGACTTGAAATATTATTGTACATGAGCTCATTCACATTCTCGGACTAAAGAGGATAATGAGCCAGTACACAAATATTTTAAATCAAAAAGCCATTTAATTTTGGGACAAAAATTCTGAAATTTATTTAATAAATTGAAGCCTGCGTAAAAGTTTAATTACACAAATAATATTGCTTAGCAAGACTTGACATGTACGTGCACTTGAATTCAAAATTTAAAAGTGCTTTACTTGGTCATAGTCAGTTAGTAATGATCCGGTCATAATGGATCATGGGGCGGCAGTATTGTAGGAGCACTTAAACATTTTTACCAATTATTTTGATATATTAATACTTATCCGATTTCCAAGGAAAAACAGTCCGCTGCATGCTCTCATTCTTCTTACGATCAGAAGCTTTTGAACTCTTTTTTTTTTCTATTCGATTGAGAGACCCACGAACAATCATTTCGTTCCAATTAGCTCTTTCTTAATTTAGCTTTTTCAATTCCAAAGATTTTGAGTTCTTACTCGAGAGAAAAATAAAAGTTCCATAGTTCATACTTCATTTCCTTTTCCGGCTCATCTCTTTCAATTGGCAATTGGGCAACGGTCGAAGTGTTTGTGTCAAGCAATCTAAAGGATTGGAACAGAGGTAGGATTATCCTGGGAGCGAGTTGGCCAGTCCCGTTCGAGTAGCTATCGAGATACGGGGCTATCTTTCTTCAAGGCCAGTCCGGTTAACGGACGATCTTACGCTAAGTCTTCTTTTCTATACTTTTTATATTAATATTTTATTTCTAATTATTGTTTCTATTTTATTTGTTCTTGCATTTGGTGGTTTGTCTGGTGATTTGTGATTAAACTCGGGATTTTATCTGACTAAACTTGTCATTTAATACTATTTTTCCAACATGTTACTCGTATTATATTTTTCGCAGTACTTTATTCAAACAAAATAATCGTAGTACTCCTTTTTCAAATGCTTTTTTTTGGCAAATCCTTTTTCAGATATTTAAGAACTCTTTTTCAATAATTTCAGAGTACGTATGTCTAAAAAAAGGGATTGGAAGTGGGGTACGTACCTCAGCCTTGGAAACTTTAACACACAGCTCCCTGAGTCTTCTCTTTTCTTGATCCTAATTGAAGAAATAATCTATACGACTATCTTATCTATATAGTAAAACAGAAAAGTGTGGGGATTTTGGGCGGGAATGACATTTCCCTTATGTGTCCCGTTAGTTTCCTTCTAGATTAGTTTTAATCAATGCAATAATTACTCTGTTTAGATTCTCGGTATTGTGCTTCTCGAAATCATTATTGCTGCAATCTTGCCTATTAATTGCTATAAAATCTGTTGTTGTGTTTAGTAAAAAAATACATTGCACAATTTATTTTTAACATGGGAAACTGAAATTGGGCGGACAGTTAGAAGGAATTTATTGTCTTTTCAATGTTTTCGAAAGAATGCAATTAAAGTTGGCTCTTCAAATCCCAAGTGGCTCTTCAAATATTCTAGCTACATGGACGGAAACCCCAATCGTTTGGTTGGCCGAAAATGTGAGTTTAAAATTAAAACCAGACAACTTCATCTTAATTGGTGGAGCAATGCCGGCAAGTGCTGTTTGGCTTCACCAAGAAACATTCAAAACTTATCTAATTAAAAAACTTATCTAGATGAAGTGCTCCCTAAACTAGAGTTAGGAAAATTGCCAAACTAAAGGGCGACTTTCCTTCCAAAATACTCCGTACCAAATGCGGCTTCAGCAGGAATGGAAACAGCCTATTGGAGAGGATGGGGATAAGGTGCCACGTGGCATCCAGATTTAAAGAATGGTAGTTTCTATGGTACCCATCCATAAGGTACCGTACCTTTGTCCACATGGACCAATGAAAAAGTAGCAGTTGAATTATTTAAATCTAAATTAAAATTGATAAAGTGATGTGGTCCAATCAAATGAATGGTAGGTACGGTACCTCTGTTTTTAGAAAGGTACCAGAGTTGTCACCTTAAAGAATTCTCTTTTTTTAAGTGCTATATCTTTTAATCGCAACATGTTGACTTTTTGTACTGTTCACATGATCTACTTTGACTACATTTTACACTATTATTTTATGGAAATTATTTAAAAAAATATATATTTTTCAAGTCATCTCATTACAAAATTTCAAAATCTGATTTTTAATATTTTTTTATTATTAGAGATTAAGATATACTTATGGTCAAATGTGTGCGTTGTCAAATGTGAAAAGGTTGACTGTTTCAACTAAAAAAGAATGGAGGAAGTATACTGTTGAGGTTTTGTCCCGTAGATCCGGAAGCCCAACATAAACTTCGGATATTAAGGACGATGGATTCGGTATATAAAAGTGAATATAAATATAAAAGTGTATGAACTAGCTATTTTTACGTGGAAACCCGGAAAGGGAGAAAACCACGGGACTTTTTAGGCTAACGTCCAAGCCCGCTCTTTCTCATTAATATGCTCCCATCACTCATTTACAATTTTACATAGTACCAATATTTCTTGGATCTTCCATTAATGGAGCTTTAATAACTAAGCTAAAAGAATAAGAAATAAGGATGAAGAACTCATCCAGGAAAGGAGAGCCAGAAAAAGCCGTCCCTTTGAGTGGAAGCCTTCCTTCCTATTTATAGGAAAAGGGGAGGGCTTTTCTATTCTAATAAGGCCTTAATGGGCCGAAGCAGGCCCATGTGGGCCGAAATGGGCCGGTTGGCCTAAATGGGCCTCGCCAAATGGGCCCCGTACCGGGGTGGTGTCTTGGGCATCTGAACAGTAGTAGGCCGGGATATTATTCCCCAACACAAGTCCCCCAGTTTCTTGAGTAGTGAGCCTGTGAATCTGCTCGAGAAAGTATACTCTTGCTCACGTCCTTCCCTGAATCAGTGCTTGAATAGTCTTGGACGCAAGGCATGCATAAATGATGAACGAGGTGCAGTCCCTCGCTAGGCACGGCGGCGCTGAAAAGCCAGCCGCTCGTGCTGTATAAAGCGGCGCTCGCCATCCCAGATCAAGGATGGACGAGCCCGACCGAGAGCCAGGCACGACGGTGCTGTGGAGACCGTGCGTGCTGCATAAGAGCGACGGTTGCCATCCCAGAGCAAGGATGGACGAGCCCGCCAGAAAGCCAGGCACGGCGGTGCTGTGGAGCCCGTACGTGCTGCATAAGAGCGACGGTTGCCATCCTATAGTAAGGATGGACGAGCCCGCCAGAAAGCCAGGCACGACGGTGCTGTGGAGCCCGTACGTGCTGCATAAGAGCGACGGTTGCCATCCTATAGTAAGGATGGACGAGCCCGCCAGAAAGCCAGGCACGACGGTGCTGTGGAGCCCGTACGTGCTGCATAAGAGCGACGGTTGCCATCCTATAGTAAGGATGGACGAGCCCGCCAGAAAGCCAGGCACGACGGTGCTGTGGAGCCCGAACGTGCTGCATAAAATAAGCGATCGTCATCCTAGATTAAGGATGGACGAACCTGACTCGGACAGACATGGACTTGACTCGACTCAGACAGACCTGGACTTGACTCAGACGGACATGGACTTGACTCGACTCAGACAGACCTGGACTTGACTCGGGACCACCGCGGGCCATCATGAATTCACATCACCTCCCAGCCAATTTATATCCCCCGTTCGCTCGCCTTCGCCGAACGGGTCGTTCTCCCCTGGTCGTTCCAAACAATAGTTCCATTCGCCCGTTCGTCCCACTAGAACGGTCTGATGTACAATGATGATCACGTCGTGCCGAGGTGGCTGATCGTAGAGCTACAGAAGCGGTCAGATCATCTGGATAATAGGTCATTTCTGCTATAAGTCAGCACCAGGGTTAAGGTGCAAGCTGTTCGGCTTATTTCCGATATTTGTTCGTAGTTTCCTGATCCGCAAGGCATCACCTCTTGCTGCCTGCTGCCTTGTAGGCCCAAGGCTGATGTAACTTGTTCGTGTTATCATCCGTGTTCTTCCTGATCCGCAAGGCAATCACCTCTTGCTGCAAGACAGTTTCACAATTTGTGTAGTGTCTGCCATCTTCCAAGCCCATAATTCCGATGCATACCGTCGGTTTTACCGTCCGGGGTCATCCATATCATGAGGTTGAGATGTCCATCCTGGACCATTGAGAATAAGGCTCCCAAGCCGGGTCTCCCCCTTATTCTCTGCCAAAATGGAGACTCGCCTTCAGGTTACAGCTCGGGTTCCACCACAATAAATCACTACATCGTGGTTCGGGCGAGCTGCATAGCCAAGGCAAGATTTTAAGACCAGAGTCCCGATCCCCCGCTCGGTCACCCTATGACTTCGGATGCCGCCCGGTTCGTCCTACTCAAGATCTTTTACACCATCTCCCAAGCTGAGTCCGGGCTTGGTTAACCTGCATCTTTTTTTTTTTTTTTTTTTTTTTGTGCTGAGATGGTGGCTCCCCATGGATCGAGACAAGTGGTATCTATCGATCGAGGTGAGACTTTATGGAATGTGAAGATGCCTCCTAAGCAAATAATGTCGTGCCGTGGGGCTGATCATGATATGAAGACATGAATAAATCCAAGGGTCTTGCGAGCGCCCTCTGCTCAAGGACAGCGGCAGCAGTCCACAAAATGTAGCCATGCTGAAAGTCAAGCAACGGTCCTCATCCGCGCAGTGCGGGGACGAGGCCGCTCTTCAAAGAGGATAAACATGTCGTGCCGACAGGCCGATCATGATATGATGATGTCGGCAATGAGAAGCCAACCTGAAAATCAAGCAACGGTCCTTATCCACGCAGTGCGGGGACGAGGCCGGTCTTCAAATATGATAATGGCACCGTACCATAGGGTCGGTGGCCATGTAATGAGGTCGCCACTGGGGGCTGATCGGAAAGGAACTAGCAACGGTCCTTGTCTGCGCAGTGCGGGGACAAGGCCGGTCTTCAAATATGATAATGGCACCGTACCAGAGGGTCGGTGGCCATGTAATGAGGTCGCCACCGGGGGCTGATCGGAAAGGAACAAGCAACGGTCCTTATCTGCGCAGTGCGGGGACAAGGCCGGTCTTCAAATATGATAATGGCACCGTACCAGAGGGTCGGTGGCCATGTAAAGATGTCGGCGCTGGGGGCCGATCAAAAACAAATAATCAACGGTCCTCATCCGTGAGGAGCAGAAATGAGGCCGGTCTTCCAAATGATCACCATGCCGAGCCAGAAGAGTCGGTTGTGGTGAGAGGAAAGTCGGCGCTGGGAGGCCGATCTGTAAATCCGAGGGTCTTACAGGTGCCCTCAGCCCATAATGTTGCTCTAGGTGCTGAACGGCGGAGGCCAGATTGCCAATCAGGTAGCGTAATCTGAAAGCTCGTGCATCGTACAGTCCATATGACTTCCCTTCATGTGTTGTGACATATATACATTTGTAGTCCCTTCTTTTCTCAATCGTCCATGATTCCTTCTACACACTAGTAGCCTCACTCTTTCTTTTTCTTTCTTTCTTTCTTTCTCTCTCTCTCTCTCTCTCTCTCTCTCTCTCTCTCTTTTTTTTTTTTTTTTTTTTTTGTAAATCTCCCCGTCCGAGCTGGTCGAACGGCTCTAAATGTAAATATTCCTTCTTTTTGTTGCCAATCATGAACGTCTTTGCGCTTCATGCTGAACGTCATAAACATCTCTTTGCTTCATGACTTCCCCGTTCGGGCTGACCGAACGCCTATGAATGTGATTCTTTTCTGCCGGTCATGAATGTCTATGTGCTTCATGCCGAGCATCATAAATATCTTTGTGTTTCATGATTCCCCGTTCGAGCATATCGAACAAATTTTACTGCACAATAAGCATGGTAATGCGGCCATATGGCCGAACAATATATACAAGCATATACAATTACACATGTATAATATTTCCCTTTTATTCTTTATTTTTCATCCATGACTATCGGCCGAAGCGGTAATAATAACCCTTGGCCTAGATTCGTTTCTTGATCCGTTAGAGTCCACGACTCGAACCACCTAGTGTTTTGTCGGGTATTCAAGTACGTATTTCGCCCCGTACTGGGTATAGTTGCCGTTCAGGCACTTAATGCCGTATGAGACCATGAATGGTTTCAAAACTAAAATATGTCATCGGGGACACTTCAGCCAATTAATTTGGCCCGATCGGGGGTGGACTGATACACGCAGTCAAACCAAACATTTAATTAAAATTTTGGTGATATTGTTCATAAAGCCCCGTTCGGCATTAACTTATTCGGGATTTTTTTTAATCCTTATTAAGTAATGGTGTGTGCAATTAATAGTAAGAATACTATTTAATCAACCAATGAATACTCTAATGCATGAGTACTTGGTGCGTTGTCGGAGTAATACCATTCGGGGTACTCCGATCGCTTACATTCAGCCGATCGCGGGTTGGCTGGTCCGCCCATTTAAACCAAATCATTTAATTTTCAATGATAATGGACTTGTCACTGGAGTCTCGCTCGGCCATTATTCAATTCAGGAAATTTTAATCTCTACTAAACAAATAATGGCGATGCGTAACTAATAGTAATATTACTAGATTACTTCATTTAATATTTTCATGGATGTCCGGCCTCACTGAGCGGGTCCGCAAATGCTCCGATCGCTAATTAAGGCCGATCGGGGTAAGCCAATAGCCCCTACTAAAACCAATCATTTATCTAAATGACGGTGAGGTTATCGCCAGAGCTTCGCTCGGTCATTATTTAATTCGGGATATTTTAATCCCTAATAAATAATGATGATAACAAACATTCCTCATAATGCTATTTGAAATTAATTCGCAAGTGAGAGGTTGTGTACTTAGCTGAATAAGGCTGATGTTCAGCTGGCAGGCCAATAGATCGGCCCGATTAGATTCCACTGGGTCAGATGAGATCCAGCTCTATTTTTGCCGTGGTACATATATGTTTTTTAATTCCAACCCAAAGAGTCAAGATCTGACGTCTGGGAGGCTTCATCTGATTTGGGCCCCTTGAAACCCCACATTCCAATTGCCCAATACTGGTACCGAACGGGGAAATCGAGCGATGGTATTCTCCGGTTCGCGAGCGGCAACTGCCACACGGCGCAGAGGAGAGGTCTAGCCGGGGGTCGGATGGTGGTAAGCTGGAGCCTTCGGTTGTCTCTCCCCGGTCCCCTAGCTGGTTTGCCCGAACGGGATCTGTCGTCCCCGCGTGAACGGGATTCTCCAGTAGCCTCTGTGGTCAAGCGTGTTGTACTGCCGATTTTTGGCGCAGATGATGCCGAGCGGTGGGCTGCCTTGCCGTACATCCGATCTGCGCCGGCGTTGAGTTCCTTCGTCCGGGTGGTGGTGTTCGGTGTGATAGTTCGGTAAAAACATCCTGCTCGAGATTTTAGCTAATACCTTTTGACAGCGAGACTCCAAACCAAACCTTGGGGATTCTGACCAGGGTCTATTGCTCCTGCTGAAGACTCCCTTGTGGTGACGGTCGGCCTCATCTGCTGTCTTGCTACGCTCCAGTTTAATCAACTTAATACAGGGGGCCTAGGTAGGTTCGGGAGTTCTCGTTCGGTATGGGCAACACCTGGTGGGTTTGAACAGGATTGCTGGTTGAAAATGGAGTATCTGTTGTTTGGTTGTGGGGCTTTTGCCATCTCAGGACGGTACAGGCCGTTCGGTCAAAGGATATGGCCATCGAACATCGCCCTACGGTGGCCTTAACTCCTCCGTTCAGTTGGAATACCCGTTCTCCCATTCAGCATTATTTTGATCCGCCACTACCGGAAAATAATCAGAGCTCTCCGCTTGCCCCGCCGCTGGTTCGGGCTATACCCGGATACAAAGCGTGCTGGTCCGGAAAATTGCGTTCGGGCCCTGCCATATTAAAAACGATTACCTATTCCTGGTTGATGTGCATGGTACACCATCCGCAGGTCCGAATGCCATCGATCTTTAGCTTGGACGTTCGGGGAGCTCCCGTTCGGCGTTCGGGAGGCGGTGTTTACTTTTGGATAAGGGTGACTCAATCACATCACCCACTTGTGTTTTGTTGTCAGGCCTTCCACGTGAGGATAGCTACGTACTCTTTGAATCAAGCTAATGGGTGCATGGGCCCCACTTCATATCTTCCCAGTAGAATTACGTCCACCACTCCTGGCCTTCTAATCAATCACCCTGCTTAACTGGATGTGGAATTTCTTCAATTTCTTCCATATTCGTTTCATCCACTTCCTTTTTTCGTTGAAATCAGTCCATCTTCGTGTGAATTTTTCGCAGAAATATCAAGAACACTTGTAACTTTTTGATCCTTTCCCACAGACGGCGCCAATGTTGAGGTTTTGTCCCGTAGATCCGGAAGCCCAACATAAACTTCGGATATTAAGGACGATGGATTCGGTATATAAAAGTGAATATAAATATAAAAGTGTATGAACTAGCTATTTTTACGTGGAAACCCGGAAAGGGAGAAAACCACGGGACTTTTTAGGCTAACGTCCAAGCCCGCTCTTTCTCATTAATATGCTCCCATCACTCATTTACAATTTTACATAGTACCAATATTTCTTGGATCTTCCATTAATGGAGCTTTAATAACTAAGCTAAAAGAATAAGAAATAAGGATGAAGAACTCATCCAGGAAAGGAGAGCCAGAAAAAGCAGATCCTTTGAGTGGAAGCCTTCCTTCCTATTTATAGGAAAAGGGGAGGGCTTTTCTATTCTAATAAGGCCTTAATGGGCCGAAGCAGGCCCATGTGGGCCGAAATGGGCCGGTTGGCCTAAATGGGCCTCGCCAAATGGGCCCCGTACCGGGGTGGTGTCTTGGGCATCTGAACAGTAGTAGGCCGGGATATTATTCCCCAACATATACTAAATTTCATAACTTTTTATGATCTTTCATATCACACCAATATTGAATATATAAAATTCAAAACAAACTAAAGAACATATGGGTTGAAAACCTCCGTGAGAACCACGATCCGTCAATACACATAATTATAAACTAAGTTAATAGGTAGTATCAATTGATCAATACGATATACAAAATTGAACATATTCGTAGTTAGTAAACATTACTAAGTTTTTTTCCCATATAATATTGAATTTATATATTAAAGTTAATCATTTCGGGTTTTTACCAGTTCAGATCGGGTTATAGATTTTAGAGCCCGTTTATGCGCCCTAATATTCGTGTTTGACTGGTTTTTACTATTAGGGCCGGTCAAAAAGAAAAAACCAGGACTGTGAACATCAATCGGGGCGGGCTAGGGTCGGTTTTCGGGTTTCGGTCCGGTTTTTCCCACCCCTAGCATTGTCAATACATCCACTAAATATATTTTTTATTTTACTTCACATGAAAAATACTCCCTCCGTCATTTAAAACTTTGTCAAGTTTGACCGGTGCGGAGATTAATAAAGTAAAAAATGTGTGGTTGAGGTTTGTGCAGAGAGAATTAACTGAAACCACAAATTCTTTACTGAAAAGGAAAATTGGCAAAGTTAGTGGAAAATCCAAAAAGGAAAGTTGGTAAAGTTTTAAGGGACGGAGGGAGTATATATAAACGATTTAAAAAATAACTGTGAGATTTTACTTTTAAAGCCCGTTTGGTGACTCTGTTTTTCTGCTTATCAAACTTATCAGCCAACTTCTTTACGAAACACGTAACTTTTGATTTCACATGCTGAATTTTTTAATAAAAAGAAAAAGTAAGGTTGAAATTACTCTTCCGACTGTATTGGCTGAAGTGACTGTAGATTATCATTCTAGCTATTTTTCATACAAATTTTTCTTTATTGTATTATTAAAAAATATTTTAAATATAATTTTTTCATTTATCATCATAATTGGCCAATACACCCACTTCAGCCATAACTTCATAAGTTTCAGTAGAATCAGTCGATTAAACCAATTTTAGTGTTACTAAACGGGCTCTTAATAGTTGGATCTATTTATGAAAAAAATTGAACTTAAATCAACAAATTAGATCATCCCATTTTTGTAAAAAAAGTTGGTTTGCAATCAAGTTTAGTGACGGAGCATGGTTGCAAGTGATCTTTTAACTCAGTATGATCTTCAGAAATTTTTAAACTTTATATATATATAATATTGACAATAAAAAATCATGAAATTTAGTATATTTTTCAAAAAAGTTGGAACAAAAATTTGAAACACACAAAAGTTTAAAGAAAAGGTTTTTTTTAGTTCTCCCACCTTAAATTTATCTCCTCGGCAATAAGGGTTTCTCTCAGAGGTTGCTTTGGGCGGTCCGCGTTTCTGAAGGAAAGTAGCCATTCCATTTGGCGTGTTTCGTTAACCATAGTTTAAACGTGCAGTACATGGGTAAATATTTTTTACTACACCTTATTTTTGTAATTAATTATTTTTTAGCACTAGTTTAGAAAAAAACTCATTTATTCTTAGAGAACTAGGCTCTACGTGGAACGCGTAGTATATAAAGGAGATCATTTGTGTTCCTTGCCAAGTGCTGAGGTAAACAACCAAACTTTCAGTCATAGTCACAGTTGTTGCTATTTTATTTTAAATATTATTAGCAAATAAAATGACTTTTTGGTCTTGCTTCCAATTTTATTCCGAAATCAAAATACTAATCTCATGTGTTTTATTGTAGAGAAGATGCAACCTTTATTATGTGCTTATTAGGGAGAGAACGATAGAGAGAGGTGGGAAAATGGTGGGGTAGAGAAAAAAAGATTATGTTTAATTATTATTTTTAAAGAGAGAGATAGAGTGAAAAAGAAATGGAAAAAGTAAATGAAGAGAAGAGAATGGAGAGGAGCATGACCCATTTAATGGATAGTACATAGGCCCATTGTTGGCCCTATGTACTTAGGGTAACTCAAAATGATTGTAATATCTAAATTCAATTAACTTGTGATATATACATTTTACACAGTAGCTAGAAACATTCATTTCGCGGCTGTATGAATTAAGTAATCTAAATGGTCTATTTCTTTAATTAATTGCAAATTTATTTAACATATGTTGATTTGTGTTGTACATCTTCACCTATAAATGTGGTAGTTACATTCCTTCCTCAATCGTCACACGATAAACTTGGAATCCTATCACATATTGGGCGGGAAAAGGGGCAAATAAGCCCTCGAACTACTCAAAAAAGTGCAAATAAGCCCTTTTGTAGGAGGTTTCGTTTGTCTATCGTCATTTGGGGAGGTTCCCGGTGGAATTATTTGATGAAATTTTTTGGGCATCTTATTCAATAAGTCTAGTTTAGTCATACCGAATTTCAACTAAAAAATCAATCGGGAAGATAGTCAAATGAATTTTTGAAGATAACTGCGCAGTTAAACAACGCAGTGTAGTTCCGAAAGTCATTTGAGTGCCTTCCCGGTTGAATTTTTAGCTGAAATTTGGTATGGATAAACTAGACTTAATGAAGAAGATGCTCAAAAAAATTCATCAAAAAATTCCACCGAGAACCTCCCCAAATGACGATGATCGGACAGAACCTCCTACAAAAGGGCTTATATGCACTTTTTTTATTAGTTCGAGGGCTTATTTGCCCCTTTTCCCCATATTGGGCATATTTAGCCTTTAGCGGATAACACGTCAGGAGATGTTTAATAGGTTACATGAGTCAGTCAATGGGTTTGACTAACGGAATAAGTTGGCGGGTTGCCAGGAGATGTTTGATAGTTTAGCTCTTCAGTCATGACAATTAGTGAAAAACACAATATTTCAAAATGTTAACTTTTTGGACACTATTTGACATTGTTTGAAATTGTTTGCACTGTTTGACCTTGTTTTGATGTAGGATAACTTTGCATTTAGGGAAAGAGGTACTTCTTTTTGGGACATCCAAAAAAGGAAAATGAGAACATCTTTACGGGACGGAGGGAGTATATTTATTGAAAACGCATGAAGTGGTCAAAGTATCATTTTTTTTCAAACACCATTTTTTGCTTAATCAAGTAGTCGATGCTGCTTTTGTTGTCGGGGCTACATTTTTTCTTACAGAGGTTATCATTTAATTAATCATTTCAGGTTAATACTTTTCTATTTCATTTTGTTACAGAGGTTTGAAACAAATCACTAAAAGTTTGTTATTCTTTCCATTTCATTTTGTATAATAATGCTTCGGGGTTTCTAATATTGTATTCAATTAATAGAAAATACTAAATGTGCCTGTTAAGGGGTACGTAATATGATAAAGCTATTTTAAAGTATATTTGTACTCTCTGGGATATTCAAAACTGCACCCAATATTCAAAATTCGTGTGTATTTGTTAAAAAAAAAAAAAGAAAAAAAACTCTTGCATTTAGTATCATATACTCCGTATAGGAAAAACTCTTGGATTTAGTATTATATACTCCGTATAAGAAAAGTAGGTGTAGAAAACCTAATACTAAAAGTATATATAGTATGTCAACTGAGAATCGCCATTTATACATTTTCATCACATATTTGTGCATCTACCTTAGTTTTGATGCCTGGGGGACTGGGGATCCAATATTATACTACGTGGTATGATTTATATACGATTAAAAATAGGGAAAGTTCCCGAAATAGGATTAAAATAGTTTGAAAATTTCAAAATGGGACTGTCATGTTTTTTATTCCCAAAATAGGAGTAATTACTGTCATGTTTGGAAAATACTGCCATGTTTGAAGTCTGGTACTGTCAAAACATGGCAGTAATTAGTCCTATTTTGGGAATAAAAACATGGCAGTCCTATTTTGGAATTTTCAAACTTTTTTAGTCCTATTTCGGGTAATATCTCTTAAAAATATTAAAAATATTACACTCCGTGTTTAATTAATTAAAAGTACTATGTGTGTGTGTTAATTAAGTGGCCGGTGATCACAAAGCTGTTTTTGCATCTATGGCTATGTTTGGCGGGCATAAGTCCCTGACTTCTAGCTTTTGTACTGTTCAAAAAGTTCCTAAAAACTTCTAGTTGTGTATTTGGCATGACAATATTTAAGAGCTTTTCAAAAATTAAAAGATCTTTTTTGAGATGCTATAACCAGGAGTAGCATCTAAGAAAAGCTAGTGACTTTTAGTATTAATTAATCCTAACAGCTTGTATATCAAACCAAACTACATCAAACAGTCAGCTTTTTATCAAACAACTACCACCTTTTCTTTTTAAGATCTTTTCAGTCACTAAAAGCTAACAACTATTAAAAAGCTCACAAAAATATCTTTTCACCTAGTTGTGCCAAACATGCCCTATATTTCACATAGCGATGATTAAAAATATCAAGTACGTGAACTATTAGAAATAGAAAGTATAAAAAATTGAAAATAAAAAACATGTGTAACATTAGAATATGGTTGTGAATGTATTTGTATATGTTATTTTTTTATCCAATCAAGTGATATTACTATTTACTAATGGTAATAAAACTATAATAATAATGACTTGACAATTACTATTCATAAATATGAGTGTTTAGATCTATTTCTTAAAATTGTTTCTACTCACTCAGGAAATATAAATGGTTAGAGCGTTTTGATAAAAGTGCATAAATACTTCTAAATGATTTAAATTGTTTTTAGAAGCAATTTTTAGAAGTTATGGAAGATTAGCTAATCAAAAACCCATTTTGATTTTACTTTTACTTTTAAAAAAGTAACAGAGACCAAATCAAGCACCGCCATAAACCGCTAAAAAGTACTACCTCCGTCCCATTTTATGTGTCTTCTTTGCTTTTGGCACAATTTTTAATAAAGTGGTTGAAAAGGTAAAAGTTGTGGTTGAGATTTGAGTATAGTAAAGTGAAATGTTATGAACCACATATTTCTTTCCAAAAACGGAAAGATGACACTTATTTTGGGACAACCCAAAAAGGAAAGTAAGACAGGTAAAATGGGACGGATGTGTTGTTGTAACTTTGTTAAAGTAAAATGTGCTTGATATTTATTTTTGTAGGAAACTTAAAACTCCATACAGCTCAAAACTCGATGCTTCCTTCAGAGGGTATTAAAAAAAATTGAATACCATTAGCTTTCAATGTGCATATGTAATTTCTTGGGCTCAAAAATTCATGAATATGTTATTATTATGACTAAACATATTTTCAGATATTTATTCCACTTTTAATATACCATGTGCTTCAGAGGTAAATAGATGTGCTAATTATTCTTATTGTGTTTTAGGTCTGAAAATCATATTTACTATGGATATGTTGACACACAAATCATCCAACAAAAAATAATATCTCATGCATCGCACAGGTACAAAACTAGTTTGAAAATAAAAGAGCAAGTTTTTTTTTTAATTTTGTGAATAAAATAGTCTTCAGGACTCGACCTGAACTGAAAGCAAATCAGGTAGAGTAGTTGAGTTCTTCTCCTTTTATATCTTGAACTTAAATCACGTTGAGTCGTTGAGTTCTTCTGCTTTTATATCTCGAACTTAATAGATCCGATTACTAAAGGAATGAACCCAATCCAGAATTAAATACCTATTAAGCGTGATTGTGTCATAGCTCTATTGTCTAAAAAAAGGGATTAGAAGTGGGGTACCTCAGCCTTGGAAACATTAACACACATCTCCCTGAGTCTGCTCGCATTGTTTGAACCTGTGTCGGGTATGAGTTGAGCAAGAATTTCTGGAGAAGCAGGCCTGACCTGTAAATCGTCAGTGATTAAGAACTCTATTCCTCCCTTCAAAAAGGCTCCCTCATTACTCGAGGCTTTGGGATAAGGGTACGTGGATGTCGAACTTCCACATTTGCAGCTAATATTTTGGTAAATGCTATGATATTTGCACTCCCATGTGTATTTACAACGGTAAGTGAATTCGGACCCAGAATCATCAATATTAATCTTCAAATTCTTGCAGAAGGCCCAAAGGGGATTTCTGGGATTGAGTACCATATTCTTGCAGTGTTCTGTCTGCCAGTACTCTCTGCTTAGGTTTTGAACACCTTCGTATATCTTGTTCACACACCCTATTTTTACAGCAGCTGAAGGTTTCTCCTTTGCAGAGGTGCTGGTAAGTCTGATAATGGTTCCAATTGGTAAGGTGAGAAAGCTGAAAAGTATATCCACAAAATCCTTATCCGCTTCCGCAGCCACTACTCGGTTTATCTCGTCATCTACCCACAGCTTCAGGGATAATACTACGGGCTCTTGCTTGGCCGCTGCCATGAACTCGGCACCTTTTGGCGTAAGATTCTAATCAGGAAAAAGAAAAGAAAAGAGAATTCATCCTCCTACTTCCACACTTATTTAAAGCGAAGATCGAAGAAGCTGAAAAAGTGAAAAGGCCCTTTGGTTTTAATTGCATCGGGTGTTTGAAATTCATTGATTTGCCTCAATTCCGATTTCCTGTGCTTGACTACGCCTGACCTTATGTTTTCGGGAAAAGGGGCAAAAATGCCCCTAAAGTTGTAGCCAATGAGGATGTATGCCCTTCAACTTTTCTTTTGGGCAAAAATCTTTAAAAATCTTGTAAGAGGGGCAACCACCCCTTGATTTAACGGTGAACCCACTTGACAACCGTTTGTGGCTCCTTTTGATGGTCAATGAAATACTAGTCTATTTTAATTTTATTTACTCTGTATTAAACTAGTTTTGTAAATTAGTTTGAATATAAAATTTAAATCAAAAAATTAGAAATACAAGTAAACCATAACAAAACGACAAAGTAATTAAATAAAAATTATAAAATTATTTCTTCTATCCCGCTAAGATTGTCTCATCTTTTTTTTTATCCGTCCCATTAAGATTGTCTCATGCCAAATTTGGTACAGTTTGTGTAGTTCTAAATCATTCTTGCTTTATTCTTAATTTATCGATGTCACTTCATCATGTTTCAATGTTTGCGCGACGGGGTAGTATTTTAACAGTTAGAAAAGAATTACTTCGTACAATGGCTAGACCCCTTTAATAACATTGAATTTGACTTAATCGGTTAAATATATACTAAAATTGACAAAATTTTGACTGAAACAACTCAATTATTGGAATCTATTGAACTACAAAGAAATGATATTTAGAACATATTTTTATTAATATCATCTTTGTCTCATTCAACATTTTCCGTCTGTTGCATTAACTCTACCTCGTACCATATTTGGTACGGAGTAATATTTAGGCAATTACAATTCATTCTTAATTTATTCACACCTTAGCAATTTATTTAACACTAATAACACAATCCAACTTTCCATAATAACCGCATTATTCCCTCTCATCTCATATTCTCATGTAGTAATTTGGCACGAGACAATCTTAATGGGACGGATAAAAAAGTTAGTCAAATTGAGTCAAATTTATCCTTTTAGATAAAGAAAAAGTTAGATGAAAAAGCTAAAATAGTTGGCTTCAAACAAAGTGAGTCAAATTTATCACCTGCACACTCACTTATTTTGATTCTTATACAATTCATCTAAAATAGCTGATTCAAAATAGTTTGACAAAAAATGATTGATAAATCGAAACTCGAAACCATATATTACCGAACAGGCTTTGTTTGGTAAATAAGGTAAAACATATGCAACACAAAATTTACTCTATTCGTATTTATTAATATTAATATCAAAATTTAGTCTATTCGTATTACTAACAAAATTTTCTGTAAAATTATGAAGTAATAAAGTGTTATATTAATATCTGAGTTGCCCCTCATATCAAATTGACCTGTAGCTAGTCTGGTCTGATGTGTTTAAATTTAATCTGATTTGGTCTGAACTGATATGGTCTTGTTTGGTTTGATATGTTTAAATCTGCATGGTATGATCTTATGTAGAATTGAAAACAATTTAATTAAAAACATCCTTAAGATTAAACCTCACATCTTAACAGTACTTATATTTGGAGCATGTAATTGTTTTGGTTGTATTTTATATGAAGTATATTTCAACTCATTTACAAAATTAATTAATAACTACAATTAAAATACATTCCGTTGAAAAGTCAAAGGAATCATGTTAAGACTTGCTCACTCCGTTGAATTGTTTCACGTAAACAAGGGGGCAAAGGGGGTCATTGCCCTCTTTTGAGAGATTTTAAAGATTTTTGCCCCAAATAGAAGTTTAAGGGCATGGATGCCCTTTAATGACTACTTCAGGGGTGTTTTTACCCCTTTTCCCTATGTTTTCGCACTTCGTAGGATCGTTTTCAGTGCCGTTTCAGCGCCGGATAAGATTATCATAGCAAAATTACCGCAATGGCTGCGAACCATGGAGAAGCGGATGTTGATACAGATATTACTACGTATATATATATATATATATATATATATATATATATATATATATATATATATATATATATATATATATATATATATATATATATATATATATATATATATAATACCAAACCAATTTATTGTAGTGGAGATAATAATACAAGAGTAGGAGGACCAAACCAAAGCCTACTCAAATGATTAAAGTACATAAGGATAGCTAATGGCATCAAACTTAAGGATTCCAACAAAATGATTAAAATGATGACTAGAGGTTTTAATAGAAGTGTTTCTATAAGCTAAATACTCTGCAGCCATATTGATTTTAGGATGAATATGTGTAATAGACCAATTTTTGCCCTTGAGTCTGCGTTTCACCGCTTGGATACGAGGCCAGGCCTTCCAGTGCTGAATACTCAATCCGGTTATCCCTTCATATATGTCCCTGTTATCAACTTCAATGACAATGTTAGTTATATGTGGGATAATCAAAAGAGTATCAACAATTGCATCATATGATGCCATAGTAAAATTATTATTGGGCAATGTAAAAGTCATATGGCCCTTATAGTTGCCTGAATCATCTCGAATAAGAGCAGCAGTTCTGGTAAGGCTGGGAGTAAGAGCACGAGTTGCAATGTTGATTTTATGGTAGAAGGATGGTGGTTTCTTCCAAGACTTGAGGGCTACACTAGGGATGGTTTTTTTTGGCCTGTGAGTATAGATAGGAAAAGGGGTTTGAGGGTGAGGAGAGGTAAGAGGGTGAGCACAAGTTATGGCGTAAATTTCAGTTTTAATAGTATGCAAAGCCTCAGGGAATAAGGTCTTTTTATCATCATAGATCAGCTTATTTCTAATCTTCCACAAGTTCCAAATCACATTATTAGGCAAAATGTAATTGATATCCGAGAGACTGCTCTTATAATCATTATACCACTCAGCTATGTAAATATTAAGACAATCGGTATTTTTTGGGTGAAAGATGAAAAGAGTTTCAAAATGCCTCCAAACCATTTTGCTAAGGGTACAAGACATAAAGAAATGATCAATAGAATCCTCACCAGGGCACATAGGACACTTGAAAGGGCCACAAATACCAAATTGGTTGAGTTTGTCAGGGAATGGGAGTAACTTATTTTCAAGTTTCCACATATAAAAAGAGATTTTTTTGGAGTTCTCTTATTCCAACGGAACTTGTAGGAAGAATTAGAAACTAATTTAGGCCTAATCACATCATAGGCACTAGAAAAACTGAAAACGCCATTTTTGTTAGGTTTCCAAATACATCCATCCTCCCTGTCATTATAATAAATTTTGGCGTTGTTGATATGATCCAGCAAGTATTGAGGCAGGCAGCTTTGTAAAAACGGGGTCAAGTGGGTATCAGGCATAGCATCCCGTATGGTAATTTGGCTAAGGTGAATCGGGATATTATCATAGTACAAATATAAAGGTCCGATATCACACCAATTAGAAAACCAAAAGGAGCTGGAGCCCTTATTAACCTGGATGCAAGAATTAATATAAAAAATGTGGTTAATAGAGTCGAGGGCCTTTGCCATAATTGAAAATGAATCATCATTAAGAGCATTATACCAGTTAGCCCAAATACCAGAATTGGTTTTGATCTTCCACCAAAGCTTATGAAAGAAAGTTTTTTGAATATGGGATAAACTTCTAAACTCCAGGCCATTCTCAGAATAAGGGTAGCAACAGTTTTTCCAGCTACGCCAAATGTGCTTACGGTTACCCTCAGCATTATCCCAAAGAAAGTTTGAGAGTTTACTCTCAATTTTTTGAATAGTAGTATTGGGGAGGGGGGAGACAGCCATATGATATAAAGGAAGGGTGCTAAGAACATGCTGGATAAGGATTATTCTACCTCCCGGGGAGAGAAGCTTATGCTTCCAGCCAACAAGTTTACTGTCCAGTTTTTCCAGGATATGATCGAAATATGAATTTAATCTCCTGCCGATAAATATAGTAGCACCAAGGTATTTAAATGGAAAAGAGCCCTTCTTAATATTGAAAATATTTTCAACAATCGAAAAAGAATGGTTTTTCGCATGTTTGGAGATCAGGTAAAAAGTTTTATCTTGACTAATGACCTGTCCAGAAAAGGTTTGATAATCAGAGATAGTTTTCTTAAGGGATGAAAGAGTCCTTTTGGCAGCATTCGAAAAAACAATTAAATCATCAGCAAAAGATAAATGATTAATATGAGGCATGTTTTGAAGGGTGATGTAGTGACTAATTCTACCAGATAAATGCAAAATGTTAAGCTTTTTTGTCAGAATTTCAGCCACTATAATAAAAAGGATAGGGGAGAGTGGATCACCTTGTTTGACACCCCTACTAGGTTTGAAAAACCCTTTAGGCGCACCATTAATAAGGACTGAAAACCAGGTGCCATTAAGGTTGTTGTAAATCAGATCAATAAACACATGATGGAAACCAAAAGTTAAAAGAACCTGTTTGATAAAGGGCCAGGTAATGCGATCAAAAGCTTTCACCATGTCAAATTTGAAAATGATATTATGCCCCCTAACTTTCTTGTTAATGTGATTCACCAGTTCTCTAAGAACTAAAATGTTATCAGAAATATCTTTTCCTTTTTGAAACGCAGTTTGTTCTTTGGAAATAATTTTAGGGAGCAGTGGGGTGATGCGCATGGTGATGATTTTGGTAAAAACTTTATTAATAAAGTTGCTAAGGCTGATAGGTCTAAACTGGTCAAACTTGTAAGCATTTTTATTTTTGGGAATAAGAGCAATTAGAGTGTGTGCAATACTTTTGGGGATGGGGACACCACAAAAAAAACTCTCTAACAGCATTATGCAAATCATTTTCAATAATGTCATAGGCACAGTGGTAGAAAAAACCACAGAAACCGTCACTACCCGGGGAGCTGTTCTTATTCAAATCAAACACCGCCTCTCTGAGTTCATCTCTAGTAACCTGGCTCAAAAGGGACTCATTATCAACATTAGTAATAACAGAACTAATATCACTGAGATAAACAGTAGGGTCAATAGAATCAGAATTATCATTATCAGTAAGAAGGTCACTAAAATAGTGAATGGCAGCATCACTGATGTCATCCTGAGTCTCAATCCAATTCCCATTTCCCAACTGAATTTTGGTGATACTAAGTTTTTGGTGTTTGGCTTT